AGGTCTCTCTGAGAAAGCAGGAGGGCAAGAGGCTCGGCTGCCCCAGACTTAGAGTGTCTAGAGGATGTCCTGGGAAGAACATGCAACGAGTTCTTGTTCAGTCATTGGCGACAATTTGAAGGACACAGAGACACACACATACTCCATGTAGGTGCAGGGCTTTATTTTTATCCCAAGCTGCACACATTCATCATGTTATTTATAAACAGCCTTGAACTCAGCCGGGTGTCCTGGAGGGTGGCTCTCCTAATGGCCAGTTTAAGAAATTTGTCAACACGTAAGGGGGGTGTGAGCCTGCTGGTCCAGGCCTGACGGGGTGAGCCTCCATCTTCCCGCATTTGTTGTGGGACAGGCCAGTTCCCTCACTACTGGGCTAGCAAACCAGGGCGGTCTGGGCCAGTTACCCTGCAGGGCTGAACGTGCACCTTCCTGCCAAAGTGACAAAGCGGTAGATTTCCAGTTCCCTGTTGAGGTCGGACCTTTGGGATGGAAATGATTATTGCAGTAACTGATTTTCAATTGGCTGGCATCTCACCATCTCTCAAACCTTGTTTCACGTTCCCTTAGGGTCAAAGAGCATCTTGTCTTTCACATCTTGTCAAGAGCGCTGAACCCCTGGGCCAGGATCTTTGCACTTTGGAATGTAAAGGGCAGTTGTCAGCTTTGCCTGCCTCCTTTTAGGTCATTCTATGTTGTCAGTTTCAGGTAGGGTGGCAGGGCAAGGGAACTAACCTTTGTTGAGGGTACACTGTGTTTTAGGTACTCATTAGGTACGTTATCTGCATTAATCTCACTACTCAAAACCACCCTGTCTGGCAGCAGGAATTAGCAGTGATTTAGAGATGTCTTCAAGGATGACCTTGTCTCTAATTACACAGCTTGAAAATCTTGTAATTGGAGTTGAAGCTCAGATCCAAACTCTTCCTAGTACATTGTACTCCTGAAGTTTATACCTCAATCAACACGCATTTATTTAAGTAGCTTTTCCACAGAAAGTACTGCCCTAGGTAACCTAGAGAGATGCAAAGAAGTATAGGCCGTGGTTCTTGCCCTCAGGGAATTAGAACAGAGTTGTGGGAGGAAGACCTTCACAGAGGGAAGTTCGTGAATAATATAAAGAAGTTACCACAAATGCCCAGCTTGGAAAGATAATTTGTTGAGTCTGAGGGAGAGACACTGGGGTGGTCAGTAGAGGTTCATGGGAAAATGGGAAATGAGTTAGTTCTTGAAAGACGAGGAAGATTTGGGTGGGCCAGAGATTGGACAGAATCTAACTGAAGCAATAAGAACATACATACTGATAATTACCTTAAATGTAAATAGATTAAATTCTCCAACCAAAAGACAAAGACTAGTTGAATGGATACAAAAACAAGACCCATATATATGATCTCTAATAAGAAAATGTGGTATATATATATATATATATATATATATATATATAATGTATATATATGTATACATGTACATATATAGATGTGTACACACACACACACAGACACAGACACAATGGAATACTATTTAGCCATAAAAAAGAATGAAATAATGCCATTTGCAGCAACATGGATGGACCCGGAGATTGTCATTCTAAGTGAAGTAAGCCAGAAAGAAAAAGAAAAGTACCATATGATATTACTTATATGTGAAATCTAAAGAAACGATACAAATGAACTTATTTACAAAACAGAAATAAACTCACAGACATAGAAAACAAACGTATGGTTACCAAAGGGGAAAGGTTTGGGAGGTAGAGGGATAAATTGGGAGTTTGGGATTAGCAGATACAAACTACTATATATAAAATAGAAAAACAACAAGGACCTACTGTATAGCACAGGGAACTAACTACATTCAGTATTGTGTAATAGCCTACAGTGAAAAATAATATGAATATATATATACACACGTGTGTGATTGTGTTTGTATTAATCTGTATGTCTGTATTAATTAGAGTCATCACGGTGATGAATGCTTCACCGTGCCTCTGTGGGTCAGGGACCTGGGGATGAGTGGGCTGACACGGTGGGAAAAACGCTGAAGTGTATCAGTAGATTTGTTCTGGGGAAGGAAAGGTGGTCTAAGAGGAGTACGTCCTATTTTGATGTATATTTTAACAGCTTACGCTGAGCCCGTGTAAAAGCATGAAGTCCTTCTGACATCTAAGGCCTGGGGAACATCGCTCAGTTTGGCTTGCTGGTTGGGCTTTAACCATGACCACCAGTCACGTGCCAGGAGCAGGGTGAGATGTTGGAGACCTACTGATGCCTAAGACCTGGACCCTGCCCGGAGGGGATCCCAGCTTAGCAGAAGAGACAGATAAATAAACGAATGATTCATCCGCCACGTGCATGGGCTGTTCCAGAGATGAGTGGGTATTGGGTGCTCAGGACCACAGGTGAGGGGGCATGCAGAGGGGGGGAGGAGGGGAAGGAGGAAAGAGCTGACAACTGCAGGATAGGGGAATGTGAGCCTCCCATTGATCTTGTGTCAGTGGACCTACTGTTTAGTTTGAAGGGTCTGCTTGGGATATTATGATGTTCGACCCCTGAGTGACTGAGTGAGTACGATTGGTTTGATTCCAGTTGCTGTAGTCTGAATCATGCCACAGTTCCCTTCATGACATGTGCCATTTGCCTCCACCCCAACCTCCAAGGACCAAGTTCCAGGTGGTCTCCATGGAGGTCTTCTACTGTGATGGGGGCGGCTGACAGGTAGGACAGAACTGAGGAAGGTGGGGACCCTTCTTTCTAGAGTCTTGCTTAGATCTTGGTTCCCACCTCCCTGGAATGGCTATCGGGCTTCCCCAGAGAGCAGGAATCGGCTGGCTGGCCTCACTGGCTCCATCTTGGTGTCCTGAATCTGCGAGGACAGTAGGATTTACAAGCACCTCCTTGAAACCGTGACAAGCTCATGTTGTTGCTCTCAACTCCCTGACCCTGGGGTGGGGTGGAGAGTGGCGAGGATCTGGTCTGTGGTCATCCATGCTGCCTTTCTCCCTGTGGCCGTGAGTCTCTAATCCAGAGTATTCCATGCTTTGCCGTGGGGGAGTGGTGGTTGAAACCGGTGATCACGAGCACTTTTGGACCATTTGTGGCGCTAGTCATCCGAGTGATTCTCCAGCACAGACTTTTTGAGAATTTGTTGACCGCCCTGCCTGTGGTGTTCCCAGTGTCATTACTCATTTGACAAATGTTTATTGAGAGCCTGAGACGACCTGCCAGGCACTGTTCCAGGCACTGGGTGTCCAGGGTGGACGATTCAGACATGGTTCCTGTCTTCTTAGCACCCTCTGGGGCTCCCACTGCGGGCTGTGCTGGGTGGGCTGTTACAGGTGTTTTGGGGTGGGGCTAGGGGCAGCATCCGTTTCCACGTGGTGGGCTGGGGAGTACTGGGTTGAGCCCATAGCTGGCGAGTTGGTGATTTTTAGAGTCTTCACTTGCCAATGACTTGTCTCTACCATAGACTTAACTCTGCCTTCTCCGTGGGCAGAGGTCAGCCGCCTGCCAATACTCCTGTTCATGAGAGTATTCTGAGAAACTTGATGAAGACAACGCTGTTCCAACATGAGGACCTATCCTTTGAGCTGTGTTAGTAGGAATACTCTTTGAGGCTCTCCGCTGACATTCATCCTGCTCTGAGTGCAGTATATTGAGGCTCGACCCTGGCTGCACTTAGAACCCCATGGGAGCTTTTACAAGAGGCTGATGCGCTGGAGCCCCTGCTGGACCAACAGAATTGGGGTCTGGGGTGGGGCCTGGGTGTCATTTGTTGTAAGTTTCCCAGGTGGTTCCAGTGACAGTTAGGGCTGGAACAGTTCTTGTCTAAACCTTGCGGAGAGATGCTCCTAGACTTTCTTTGGCTTTCAGCAGGCAGTTTGTCGGTGATCACTGGTGAGACTGAGCCTAACTCATAGCCCAGATTGTTTCCCTAAACTTCTCCTGAGGGTTTGGGGTGTTCAGTTAGGAAGGCCTTCTTCTCAGATGCAGCTTCTGAGGTGCTGTTCCACGTGGACTCCCTTTTTGTTTTTTGCTAAATTTTGAAAAGCTGTTTGAAAAGAGATAAGACAGCCTTGTGCCTATAGAAAGGGACCAGAGTCAGACGTTATTTCTCACCTATAAAATCTGAGCATAACAGAAGTTAGTTGTGTGGGGTTAATTAAGGCAAGAATTAAATATGTACTAGGTACTTTTGATCTGCCATGGGCTGTTCCAAGGGTGTGCATGCATTTATACACACATACGCACGTATACACAAGATGAATAAAATTTGGCTGCTACACAGGATCTAACGGGGGAAAGGGTCCTCCCGTCATGGGAGCAGAGGCAGGAGTGTGGTCAGACTCACGGCTTAGAGTTTGTGTGACCTCTGGAGCCAGGCTGCCTCGTCTGGCTTTGAATTCTGGCTCTTGACCTTTTGAAAAGGCACTTGACCTTTAATGGACCTCAGTTTTCTCCTCTGCAAGATAAGGGACAAGAATCACATCTAGTGAGGATTAAATGTATGTGAATTATGCAGAATAACGCCTGGCAAGGAGGAAGCACTTGATGAATGAGGGAAATGATTGTTGCAAGATGACAATGGGCGTGCTGCCAAGTTTCCCATTTTAATGGTATTCAAAGACTCTGGGATGGCCACCCATCAGAGACTGGGGCAGATGTCCTCTGCGTTAGACAAAGGAGGTAGGCTGTCCATGTCTTTAGTCCTCTCTAGCCTCGCCTGGAATATGGATGCTGCGAGATCATCCTTGGGTTTGTTTTTTAACCTGTCTGAGCCTTGATTTTATCATCTGCTAGATGAGAAGGCTGTCTATTGAGCAGAGCCAGTGTGAGAATAAGATCCCCACGATGGCTTCCTGGCATAAAAGCTCAACCGATGTTTCTTCGTCCTGCAAAAATGAGCGTGTGTTTTGTCGGAGCCAGGCACTGCTCTAGGCACGGGGATATCACTGAGAGGAACGCAGATGGAGGGAGCTGCGAGGGGGTGGGCGGGGAAAGGGGGACGTTGAGGTTGCAGCTTGGTAACATTAACCCTTATTTTCAAAGCTCTCGCCTCCAGTCCATCCACCTGTCCCGAGTCGATACCACTGTGCTCTGTGTTTGATTCAGCGGCGGGATTAAGTGTGCCCCTGGATGCAGGGGACAGTGGTGAAGGTGAGCTGTCTGACATTCTCATCTGCAAGAAGGGATAAACTGTCCTGGACTCTAATCCATGACCTACAGTGTGAAGCTTGTAGGCAGGTCCTCTAGGCAGAGTCTGATTGGACCCAAGTGTCTAGAGTGGCTCTTGACAGAGAGCTTTTGGGACAGAGAGTTTTGGAAAGATGAAGTGTGCCTATCAGTTCCCTTCCTCTGCAATGAGATCTACCTACAAGCAGTCCTGGCGTGTTTCATGACATGCTCCACCCATAACTGATGAGTAGAGGGAGCAATGACAATAGAAGACTAGGGCCTCAGGAAGGCTGTGCCCCCTTCCCGTGGCCATTTGCTCTCTGGCTGAACCGTCTGGCTGTCTGCTTCTAACTCTGCCAACTGGGTGTGCGAGTCTTTAACCTGCTTCCTTTACAAGGGTGTGAAAACTTAATAAAATGGCTGAAAATTTCTCTGCTGCTACAAGTTGGCCCAGAAATTCCTATTTAGAGTAAATTCATAGATGAGGCATAAAATCAGACAAAAACTTAAAAAATGCTGAATCATTCCCTCCTCTACTTTCATTTTTGGCCTCTGATTCTTCCAGAGAAGCAAGTGCATCAACAGAGGCGTTAGCAGTGAAGGCCGAGGCCGCAGGTGCTGCTGGATGGTCTGTGTCTAGAAGAATATTAGGGCTGGGATGAGCACTCACTTTATGCAGTAGTTTTGGGAAAGAAAGCTGAGTTTGGCTTCTCTTCTTGACGATATTTTCCCTAAAGGGAAACAGTGGCCATTTACGTATTTCAGAAAAAGAGGTCATCTGAGTAGGGTGACATTTAGTTGCTACATTCTTTTATTTTTTATTTATTTTTTTGGAGGGGTAATTTAGGCTTATTTATTTCTTTACTTATTTTTTAAAGTTTTTATTTGTTTTTTGGGGGATGTAATTAGGTCTATTTATTTATTTCTTCTTTTTCTTTTTATGGAGGTACTGGGGATTGAACCCATGACCTTGCTCATGCCAAGCACACACTCTACCGCTGAGCTATACCCTCCTTGCTTCTTTCAATTCTCTTTAATTAATACATACATATATATTCTTTTTTCCTTTTTTAAATACAACTGATACTATTTAAAAAATTTTTAAATTTAATTTAATTTGATTCTTTTTTGGGGGTAGGTAATTATGTTTACTTATTTATTTATTTTTAAAAAGAGGTACTGGGGATTGAACCCAGGACTTCATGCATGCTAACCATTCACTCTACCATTTGAACTACTCCTCCCCTAATTCTCTTTAACTTAAAGCATCATTTCCTAAATGACAAGTCACAGAGAACTGCCCCTGAGTGGTGTCTGTGAAGAAGGTTTTGAGGTCACAGTGACCTGGGAAGCCTGAAGACTACAGTACTCCCTGGAGATTCACAGCTGATACCTGGTAGGTTAAAGGCTCTGAGAAGTCCTGCAGAGAAGACAGTGGGTTTCAGTTGGTCCAACCAAACCTGTCCCAAACTTATTTGACTACAAAGCCTGTTTTACACATAAAACATCTACTGTTTAGGAATCTGGATTAAAGTGAAGGCAGTAGCATTTACTGAGGGTCTTCCATTGCAGGAAACCTTCTAGATACTTTCCAGACATTACCTTGTTTATTTTTTACGTTAGCCTTGTAAAGGGTGTGTTTTCACTCCCATTTTACAGATGAAGAAACTGAAGCTTGGCAAGATCAAGGAGCTCGCTCACGTTTGCACAGCTATCAAGAGTGCTGAGGTTGGACCCCTGGTATATGTAACTCCAGATCACATTAGCTTTTTATTTCAGCCACTTCATGGTTTCCCATTTTTAATCAAGGAAGCAGAAAGGGGGTGGGCGGGAAACACTAAAGGACTTAATTTGAGGGTCCCTCAGGTGCAAGCTTGATATTGTTTTCTTCCTTACAGAGGCAGTCAAGATCTTCCACCTTGTAGGAACCTATCTTTGCTAAGAGAAATGTTTACAAGGTGGCCGGGCCCCATGAATCAAGGGATTATTGTGATGAAGAGGCAGCTGCCATTGGGCCTGAGTCCAGCGATGTTTAGGTGGGTTAACCAAGGCCCGCAGCCTCTATTATGAGCTTCTTATTTCAAGCGATTCTTCCATCAAGTTGTCCCCATCAAGTTCTCCATTTGCTGAAGATCTGGTGGGTTATGAAATGCACCCTCGAGTTCTGGGAAAGAATAGTTGCCCCACAGAAGCCAGCAGGGCAAATGTGTCTGATGAAGCATGCAGCTCCCCAGGGGGCTGCCACCCACCCTCAGATGCCTTGCACAGGGGGGCTTCTGCCTAAGGGCCCTCAGGGGAAGGGGATGCTCTGGGGAGCTGGCTCCAGGGCTGGCATCCTCAGGACATCACTGCTGCTAAGCCAGCATCTGGGGACCTCCTGCTGCGCTGGGAGGTTTCCACTCCTCTGATTCTCTGCTAGTGTGTTGTGGTCTGTCCTGGTGTGAGCAAGGGGCTTTGCTAGCAAACCAGGCTTTACAGCACAACTGAAGAAAGTTTCCTTTAGGTGACCTGTCCTAGGAGGTTATCCAGGCTGAGTGGGGTAATTTTTCTTGGTCTGAAAAGCAGGGCCGGAACGTAGCTCCGGCTGAATAATGCTGGTCTCGGGAGAGATTTGGAGAATTTAGTAGAGAGACCATAGTCTTGGTTAATGTATTCAGTTCATCTAAAATGCTGGCGGTGCTGGCTGGGGACACGGAGATGAAGGAAATGAAGATGACCAAAATAAGGTACTCCTGGGAGGGCTCGTGTAAACGTGAACTTGCAGAACAGTGCAGTCAAGGCTTTAGGAGGGGAACTTACAAGGCGAGGAGGTAGCAAGTGGTCAGCACAGCCTGGAATCGGGGTCCAGGCTGAGCTTGGAAATTGGAATTTCTTGTTGGACAAAAGGGCCAGGAGGGAGAGAAGGACATTCCAGGCAGAGGTAACAGTGCGTGAAAAAGAATAAGGAGGTTTCCGTCGACAGTGATGGTGGGGGAGACGCTTCCCTGGATGGAAAGCACCAGCTCCTGGAGATGCAGCGTGGAGGCTGGAGCAGGGAGGGGAAAGCGGAAAGGAGGACCACGGGTTAAGGCTCCATGGTAGGAAGGAGCGGGTTCACACACCTTTAGTACAGCAGGTGCTACGCTGAGTCTCTGTGTGGAGAACCAGATTGCCTTTGGGAGAGAATCATGGGCTTGGCTTGGGGGGTGGGGCGGGGACACGGGATTGAGCAGCTCTTCCCCCATCTCCTTTCCTGGAATGACAGTGGGAGAGGGGATGACGCTGCCTCCGGACAGCCTTCTGCAAAGCCAGGTGCTAGTGTCTAAAGCCGAGGCTGAATGTGGTTGTCTGTCATCCCGGCCAGGCAGCGTGGAGGGGAGGGAAGGGTCCTTACTTCCTCCCGAACCTTCGGAGCAGACGGGTGAGCCCTTCTCCAAGCTGTGGCTGTGTGGCCTTCCTGCTGCAGCCCGAGTGCCAGCTCTGCCCAAGTTCCGGGCTGTAGGCTTGATGGAGAATGCCCACGTTGCGGGGGGGAAGGCATTCTGTGGATCTGTCAGGGCCTGAATGTATCCAGTGACCGGGCTGCCATCAGTGCAGGGTTACCGTGGAAAAGAGAATGAGGGGGGTCTCCATGTCTGCCCCGATGTCACAGCTGGACCAAGTGACTCGCTGACCTCCACACTACTCCCAGGGGCCACATCTGTCTTCCCCTTCCATCGTCCCCGAGTCTCGCACTGGTGTTGCAGCTGGCTGAGCCCGGAGGCACTCCAGCAGCTCTGCCTGCGGACGAGGCCCACGTGTCCCCGGAGCGGGAAGCATGAAGGCTTTGCTTTCTCCTGTTCCTCTTCATCACCCTCAGTGACCTTCACCAGAGTTTCTAGGGATTGGTAGCAGTGGGAAGGTGATACGGAAGAGAACCAGCGGACGATGGTGACAAACACCAGCTCCGTGGCCTCGTGGGTTTCTCCTTGTGCTCTGAACAGAGGCCGTTTCAAGGTCCCTCTGCAGGACCAGCTGGGTCAGGAGGTGTTTCTGACGGACGGGACGGGAAGGGCCACAGAGTGAGAGATGGCTGGATGAGCAGAGCCAATGAGCCTACGGGCCTATGGGCGAAAGGTGGGAGAGAGGGAAGCCTGGGTACCCAGGGGCCTCGGAGAGTGGCAGGGAGGAGCGGACACATACACCACAGCGAGGCCGAGGCCAGGCTGTGTGGACCTGGGGGCTGAGATGAAGAGAGGGCTTCTGAAGAGACAAGTGCAGGCAAGGAGGATGGTCGGGCTCTTTCTCACAGCCCTTAGAAGTCTGGCCGTGGTGGAGGAGGATGGTCACTAACTTGTGGAAAGAAGACTTGTCTTGACCCAAAACTGTGGGGTCTTGACCCGATACAGCAGGGTCTTATAAACTAATCTCTCTCCTTTTCTCCTACTCCCTCCCCTTCTTTCTCCAGGCTGCCGCACGCTTTCTGGGGCCCTCTGGCATAACTCCAGGTTGGAGGGGAAATCTCCACTAAACACGAGGTTTCATAAGTTCAAAGGCTGAGGTTCTAATGTGGGTGCTCCAGGCGGCTGCCCTCCGGGTGCGAGAGGCGGGGAGGCTGCCTGCGCTCTCTTGCAAGCTTTCCTTCTCTCTTTGGGGGGAGTTGGGTGGGTCCAGGAGCTGAGGGGTGGGTCCAGGAGCTGATGGGCAGCTCCAGCCATCACTGGGGGTTGTGAAGGTCGTAGACAGGTTGCAGGGGGGCAGGCGTGTCACAGGGGTGGAGCCAGCTGGCAACACTAACTCAAACTTTGGTCCCACTTCCTGTGAGGAGGGTGAAAAATTTCGAGGTAAAAGCAGACTTCCAGGTTACAGAGGCTCTGGGTGGTTGACATCCGTCTCCACTTGGAGGAATAGCAGCGGTGGGGGCCGCCTGAAAGGCAGGAAGGGACCCAGGTGCCTCCAACGACTTGCTCCCTGTGATGGTTTGGTGAAGCCAAGTGCTTCTACAGCCTGGAATTAGAATAATTTAGTTCTCTCCTGGCACCATTGAATCATGAGGCCAGGGTGTTTATCGGGTGGAGTAATCAATCACACAAATCCTTCCTCCTCTGCCTTGTCCTGCTTTTTCAACCACACAGTCAGATGAGCAAACTGGGAAATCAAACAAATGACAAGCAAAAATGAACACAGCCTGGATGCAAATCATAAGCACTTAAATATAAATTGTCTTCTTCATTGGAGCCCCCATTTGCACTGCCATCCCCCCCCCCACCTTCCACATGAAAGGCCTTATGTTGAAAGCTGGAATTTTCATTGTAGGAGGCCAGCGTCTGCTGCGGGATGGTCTCATGAGAAGGTAGGAAGGGGGTATTGCCAGGGAATACCAGCTGGGATTGATGGAGACCATCCGTTGGCTCCCGCTGGGCGTAGTGGGGAAGAGGGTGGGATGTGAATGTGGGGTGTTGGTCCCTGAGCTCAGAAAGGGGCCCCTGGGCAAATGGGGGTCTCTGCCTTGACTTTGGCTCTCTGGTTCCACTCATTTCTGTCATTTTGTAAAACACTTTTGAAAGCACAATGTATGATCGTGAGGTTCTCTAGGTCTTTTAATGCTGGGTCAACCCTGGTGTCCTTGTCCTTGTCGTAGCTCTGGGTGCAGGAGTGGAGGGTCTATGCACAGGAGTAATATTATTTAAAACAACAACTGAAAAACAGTCAAGAAACATTTTATATTAATATCAAATGCTTTAAGTATGTCTCAAGTCCCAAAAAAGTCCTACGTGGAGTCATAAACTTCTAGGAATGACACATCTTTGTCCATCACTCGAGAGTCAGTTTTAATGGTTTTGACACTTGCAAATCTAATCTCTCCCCTCTGACCTGTTACCCTCGGGGGCCGGAGGAACGAATAGTTTCTGCCGTGCCCGGGGGCTTTGTATTCGTTATCTTACTAGACCCTCTGCCCTGTTCCCTCACCCGCGACACAGGTAGGTGTTCCTATTGTGCAGGTGAGGACAGCGAGGCTCAGAGTCTGGGTAACCCGTTCGGCTTAATCAGAGCTAAAGGGCAGGAGTTAAGAAGGGTCAGTGCTGGGATTTGAGCCCCAGCCAGCCTGGCTTGGAAGGCTTTGCTCTTCCCATCACACCGTGCCATCTTTCTGTGGCTTTGGCTCCTGTTTAAAAGGTCACAGATGCAAAATATTCCATCTTTTCAGGTCAGGTGTGCCAAAATTCCAGGTCTGGCATCGGGCCCTTGGACTTGTGAATGCCTTGGTGGGGGTGCTAGGATTTGAACACATGCCCCCTACCCCCCACAGCTAAGTTGGGTTGGGAGGGCAGGTGGAACATAAGGTTGGATAATTGATTTTCTTCTTATGAATATTTATTCAAGGTTACTTCTCCATCTGCTCTCCTTCTGTAATTTCGGAATGGACACTGAGCCTTGCGCAGGAGCCTGTCCCTCTCCTTCTGGGTCACTCCTCCTACCACTGGAGGAACAGGGCTGAGCTGGTTATCACTGGAAGGTCCGAACGGAGCGCACTGGGTAAAATGTCTAGGGCTTGGGGCTTTTCCAGATTGCACATCCTTAATTGCGCTGAGCTCTTTAGAGCTATTTGATGAATCGATTCTCAGCGTGGCCATCTGCACAAAAGTGCAGGACTGCTTGCAAGCTGGGAGGCAGTTATGCCTGAGTTTTGTGGCTGAGCCCTCGGGCAGTTCTTGGAAGGGGAGGACTCATAGGTGGCCGATAATAGTCTATGATGGAGAGGAAGGACCATAAAGTACAGAGGGCTCATTAGTTTTGATGGATCGGGCTCAAATGAGATGACATTTTAGTCCCTTGTGTAAAATCTAGGCTAAGTATCAAGTAGAAATGTCTCTTCAGGCCCATGGTAACTGCTTCTTGGGGGAGAGGAAAATTGGTGACCCTCTCACTGTGGTTTTGAGGTGGGAAACCCCATGAAAAAGACTGGCAGGGCCTCTACTCTCCTGCCAGTACCATCCGGTTCCCTGGCCCAGCAGCATTACCTCTCTTTTTGCCTCTGAAAAGGCTTACTTCTAGGAAAGTGGAACTTATCCCTAAAAGTCTATTGGTTCCCTGAGCTAACTCCTG